TTCAACTCTTCTATTGCACACACAATATTCTCAAACTTGTTTGTTAAAGATCTCAAGTTCTTTTCAATAACTCATGCATCAGTTACTGTCTCTCCATTTCTGGTGAGTTGATTCACCACCTTTTACACATGTGTGATGTAGTAAGATACAATTTCTGTATCCTTCATCTGTATCCTCTCCAATTCGCCACGAAGAATTTGGAGTCGAACTTGCTTCACTCGATCTGCTCCTTTGAACACTCTTTCTAACGTGTCCCACGCTTGTTTCGACGTAGTCGAACCAGTAATTTTTTCGAAGCCTGATTCATCTACAGCCCTGAACAACAAGTATAATGCCGTTTTGTCCTTCGGTCGCGTCTCTTTCAACGCCTTCGTTTGAGCTGTCGTATATCCCCCAACTTCTGTTGGTTCTTCAAACCCTTCATGGGTCACATCCCATGCGTCTAGAGATCCAAGAAGAGCTTTCATTTGAATACTCCAGTTTTCATAATTTGACTTCGTTAGCCGTGGCAACGACATTTGATTCATCATGTTTGCCATGAGCTCTGATGCCAAATTGATATAAAGAAGCAGACTTCGATTATGTGATTTATTTTGAGAAATAGGCAAACCTTTCTATATTGGTTGTTAAATAAAACACACTCTTGGTCCTTATATATACTCAATGACTTTTACAATTCCAAAAAGATAACTGCTACTAATAAAAACTATCATAACTTACTTACTTTTGGCCTTCTAAATTATATTGATTCTTAATCTTCCTACCATATTTAATATAAAAACTTATTACTAATGACATTAAAGTTTACTCAATAATATATAAGAAAGCAATGGAGTGAACATAAAGTATTAAGTTGGAGATAACATGAATGGATACAAAGCAGGGGCTGTAAGAGAGGAAATGGAACATAGCTATGTGACCCAATGTGGTTGTGTTTTTATATTTGATGCTGATTTTCAACCACAACCTGATTTTCTCCGCCGAACAATTCTTTTTCTTGTCAATAATCCTGAAATTGGTCTCGTTCAAGCTTGTTGGAAGTTTGGTAAATTACCTCTCATTCTTCTTATTTTAGATCAATTAACCTTATAACAAGCTTGGTGCAACAATTGAATGCAATGCCTCTCTTTTTTAGTCACCACTATATTTTAGTATACATTTTGACATGAGAGAAAATAAAGCCAGGAGAAAGGACAAATAATAGTTGTAACCAAAGTGGTATATATTGGGGTCATAGCTTTGAAATATCAAGTCCACCTTCTTTTTTTATAGCTAAACTCAATTCAGTGTGCCTCATATTTTCAGCTTAATGCATCAAAAATAATTTACTCAAAATTGACAGTACCTTGTAATTATAATTGAACGCCATTACCTCTGGTTTTTACATACATAGTTTAGTACACCTACTCAGGGCTTTAAAAAGGGATCGCAGTCGCGTAAAGGTTTTCGCGATTTCGATCGGTACAAATGTATTGCGGTCGTCGCAGTGTAAATTAATTATAATTTATTTTTTAATATAAAAAACGATGATAACAATATCAATATCTGCATCTTTCAAAACTGTTTTATCGCGGCTGTTTTTGCGATCGCAGACCGTTTTTTAAAATCCTGCACCTACATTTATCTTATGTACAGGATATAAAAATGAAAAGAAAAGTGCTTTGAAAATGTCTCAATTGCAATTTAAATACTATACGTAGCAATGCATTCATCATTTTATCAAATTAGTTCAAGCACGGATATAATTACATTCATCATGATTATTACTTGCATGTATGTCAATGTCCACGTCAGCTGTTTGATGAAATGGTTGTGAGAGTAATGAATAAAAAAGAAGAAGAAGAGAAACAAGATTATCATGAAGAAAATTGATAAAGTTCGTTTAAAACCCCCACAATTTAAATTGTTTTTCTGTCTTATGTATAATAATTTATATATCTAACACTTTCCTTTTTTTAATTTTTATACACTATATTCATTCAACTTTTACTCACTACCCCACCATTTTTATTTTCTTTTATTTTTTTATTAAAATCGATTTTTTTTTATCAAAATCAAATGAACAAGTCTCTATTTATAGACAAAAAAATTTTTTTTTGGTGAAAATAAATAAATAATTGATTTACTATAAAATAATTGAATCTAAATAATTAACATGAGATAAAAATTTAAACATTCACAATAACCAATAAGATTTTGCAAAGTATTTTATGTGGTCTTACTCCCTCCTCATTCAACATATTAAATGTTTTCAACACCAATTAATTCATCTCAATTTCAACACTCCATTCAACACCCCACTACAAACATTCAACTATTGAATAATTTTTATAAACACCCCAATCGTAAGTAGTCTAAGTGATGTGGCATAACATATGGCGTGCCACATAAGTGTCCGTTGGTAAAAACTAAAGGGAGAGACCAATTTTAAGAATGAAAAAGTTTGCGAGGATCATTGTTTGAATGCAAATTTTAGAGAGAATAAAATTAAAGGTTGTCATATCTATGAGGACTCTTGACATATTTAACCCAAATAAAAATAAGTTAAGTAATAAATCTAAAAAATCTATGTCACATTTCAGCTATGCAAAACTTAAAGTTTTTCTTTTACAAAAATTAACGGAAGAGACTATTTTATTTTATTTAATCGAATATTATTTCACATACTAGTTTATAGCATTTTTTAGTTAAGGATCAAAGCAAACATTTAATAAAATTAAAAGACAAAAAATTAAGCCTAAATTTTGTATATCTAATATTATTACTATTATTTTTCTTCTTTCTGTAATATCATTTCTTTTCAACAAATAACTAGTATTATCGACAAATTAATAAATAATGTTGCACTGAAATTTAAAAACAATATCTATAATATAAGAAAAGTGTATATATCTAAAAACTCTATTTTGTCTTGTTGCTCTAAAATCACAACACGTGACTAGCCTATTTGAGGTTCCAATTTATTAAATTCTTCTATGATTTTCTGCTGTAACCTCCCTCTCCACCTTCCTTTAACCTCTCTCTCCAACTTCTCCTATTCATTATCTGTTATGTAACTGTTTCCATAATCAATGTCTTAATTTCCAACGTTTGTCCAGTGGAAAGGATGCATCCGCGATGGGTTCAGACAATACAATTCATCCCTCATTCTACTTCGGCTCTGTGCACTCCATCAATGACTCCCCATCCGTTTCGTCAAAGTCAGATTCCCCTTCTTCTCCAACGAGCGTCGCTTTCAACGACTCAGTCTCTTTCGCTCGCGATCTCTGCTTCAGTTCAGTTTTCCTTCTCGATTTTGTGTTCGGTTGATTGATGATTGTTGATGTGTGTGTGATGTTGAAGAAAAATTGCGATCAAAAGCGCAACGGAATTTAAAATTTTCCTTTAGAGATCCTTACGAATGAACATGGTCAGTGATAAAAATATTTACCTCTTGTGGCGATTCAGACCTTTGATGTTGTGATCACGAGCGTTGATGAAGAACAACGCCTCTACTCAGTCCACACGAACAGATCGCTTCCGGTCACAGTGCTAGCTGATCACGAACGAAAACCTTGAGTGAGAGAGAGAATCAAAAACGAAATTGCATCAAGTGAAATTGCTTCATCACAAGGGATCTATTTATAGAATCACTCGTGTGGGCTACAAACTAAAAGCCCAATTAAGGCTATAAGCTAAAAGCCCAATTAAGCTTATGGACATCATACCTTATGATGTACCATATATCACTTATCCACGTGGTAACTTACCACTTTCCGTATTACACTTAAGTGCACCGTATCTTACGGTGTTCCTTATTTATTCTATCTCTCATCAACCTGTCCTTATGTGTGTGACCCTGTAGGTTTTCGTGACGTTGACAATTATATTAAATCACACATTTAATATAATAAATAGTGAGCGGTATCTAGCAACACATCACTGTTACCCAAGTCACGAAAATGTCATGTGATCTGACCAAACCTTTTCCGTGATAATATTTGTGTTGTACAATTACCCTTTTGCCCTCATGTCTATATTGAACACAAGGCATACACTGTGTCACCCTTGTCTAGTTCAATATTGGGCCCTTAGACATTTATCCTGTTATGCAGAATGAGAAAATTCCATCTAGGTCACTCATGTCCCTTAGCATGCTTTGTGAAGTACCCATCAACCGTCTTTATAGTCATCCAGTTATGGATGACGTTTGATCAGCAATAAAGTACTTGACTCTACATCTAGGGTCCATAGTGGTTTCAGGTCGAAGGGTGGTATACACCATTATCATCATGAGAATAACTTATGTCACTTTGCATAACATTCTATGTAGTATTCTCATAGCGGGTCAATCCAGTATAAATATTACTCCTAATATTCATACCTATGTCAAGACTTGATAACTCCTTATCTATGATCCATGAGATGTGATCATCAATCTATCTTCATAATAATCTTAATGCTTTAATGTTATCCCACTTCACATTAAAGCTTGACTACTGATACTTTAAGAATAGTGTCTTATGTTTAATGGGATCTCATGATTAAGTCACACTCAACATTTCATTAAACAAATAAACCATTCTAGGGACTTTATTATTTTGGAAAGCAAACATAATAAAGAAATGCCTTTTATTATTAATAAATAATTCGATACAAGTACCAAAAGTATTGGCCTCTAGGGCTTACACCAACAGATGTTGTGATTGAAGAACCTTGATGATGATTGGGGATTGAAAGTCACTGCAAATGGAGTATGAAGAAGATGGAAGTTTGAAGGATAATGATGAAGATGACACAGTTCATAGTTATGAGATTCATCTCTTTAAATTGCAAACACCCCTATCACTTTCTCAAGGTTTATTTCTATTCCCCTCTCTCAATTTCACCCCCAATTTTCTGTTTCACGAACAAGGGTTTTCTAATCGTCTATCCTTTTCTTGGACTTAAGCCAAAATGCAGGTCTGTTGGGCCTAACATGAATTGGGAGTCGGAAAGTCATTCAACTATAAGCCGGATTCATGCTTTTCTTCTTTGTATTTGGTATTACATTTTAATTTTGTCCATTCCTGCGCATTTTTGAGCATTCTGGTGAAACACTTTTCGTGCAATTGTATTGAAAAATTTTAGGCAAGTTTGGAGCAGTGGCTGCTACAATCCCATTGCCAATAGTAGCAGCTGCTTATTGTGTCCTCTTTGCCTATGTCGGTATGAATAATCTATTCGTTATCGATAATTTCATATCAAATGATTGATTTCAACAAAACTCGACATGTAAAATGTATTTACAATACCAGTTTCATGCATTGTATTGCATTGTTTTGTTCCTTTAAAATGTCGAATCCTTTGTGATTTGAATGTAATGTTTCTTCAGTAATGAGCAACTTCTGTTGGACTTGGCTTTCTGAAATTCTGCAATCTAAACAGCAACCGATCAATGGTCATCGTCGGCTTTTCTCTCTTCATCGGTCTATCTGTTCCACAATATTTCAATGAATATATGGCCCTATCTAGACATGGCATAACTCACATTGGCCCTTCTTCGGTACATGCTCAAAATCTTACCAGAAAAATTTACTTATGTTAGCCTATAAATAATCCAATCTTTGATTCGGATTACAATTTTGTCATAAAACACAGTTCAACAATATAATGCAAGTGATTTTCTCATATCCAACAACTGTGCCAATTATAATTGCTTACTTATTGGATTCCACAATGAGCCTTGAAAAATGTACATATATGCTCTGTAAGATCGACAAGTCAGGTTGCTTGTCTGGAAAATCAATCGATAATGAAGTTGAATCCTTAGTGAATCCTCTCGCTGATAGTATACTTAATAAAAATGCGGAGCTTTTATTATTAGAAGAACATCTTGATACTAATTTAATCATATTAATCCATAACATGACAAGGAAGGAAAAGTTTTCAAATACATTTTGGTGAATATATGTTGAATATTTTTATGACATGCGGTTGTTATTCCATACTAATCATTTTCTCCGTTCATATGGTAAACATTATCTTCATGAAAATTTCTTTTTTACATGCACTATTTATTCTCTTAAATCATTGAAAATATTATAAGTTATGGTCCCGTGTCACCTAATTCTTATATGATGACATAATGGATGAAATTTCTTATGGATGAAATTTCTTTCTGCTACAGGTTAGTTACGACGACACTGATATTAAAAATATGGCACTGTATATGGAACTGTCCCTGTAAATCTGTTATTGCAAAGAGTATCAAGAGCCAGCTCTACACACAACCAATTGTTCATTCTGCTGCAGAATTAGATGATCCGACAATTCAGGCTTCTCTTTAATCATGTGCATCCCTATGAGTATTTTGAAACAAATGAAAGATGGAGTGCAAATAATATGATTAGTTTTTTATAATTATTTTTCTATCTCTACCTTTTTGATCCTACATTACGTCGTGGTATTCCACTCTGCCACTGAGATACTGTTAAACCATGTTCGTGTCGTATTCCAAATTGCAGGGGTCAAGGTATTAATGATAGCTAAGAAATGATCAAAGCATGATCAGTGTGTTCCAAATTTTATATGCATATTCATTCAGATTTCACATTAGGAGTTCATGATCTTAGGTCTCAACTTGGTATCATCCCTCAGGAGCCTGTCATTTTCGAAGGTACCATCAAAAGTAACATCAATCCAACTGTGGTCAGTCAACAACTGATGAGATATGAAAGGTAATTTAAAATCCAATTGTTAGATGTTTGAATTAATAATTATTATAGAGGGAATGTGTGAATGTATGATTGTGCTTATGCATATAGGGGATGGGCGACTCCACTACGAATATTTTCCCGAAAGTGTCACAATGCTATCTGGCATTTCAGGTTTCCTTATACAAGATCCTGTTTTTCATTTTACTTAATGACTTTTGATAAATTATTTGGACACTTAAAATATTTATTCTGTTATGTCTCTGACCTGGTAATATGTCCCATTCAAGTTGGGTTTGTTTCAATTTTAGGTTGGGAATCAAGGTTATGGTAATGGGTCATTTATGTTATATCAGAGACAGATAAACCACCAGTTGATAATAATAATTCATCCAGAGATGATTCTGGTAAAGGAAAAGAGTCTGGTGGGAAATGTTGGTGCACAAAGGAGAGATAAAAGATAAAAGAAATATATTGAATGACGGCTATAAAATAAGGAGTAATGAATTACATTGGCCTACTCACTACTAGGCTATTTATACACAAAATTAGGGTATGATAAAATACTAAAATACCCTCTAACAAACTTAGTCAATAAAATATTCCTAAAATATAAATTATTTCCAACATCATCCCTTAATTTATTTTTACACAAAACTGACAACAACAATTTCATCCCTCAAACGAAGAAATTAATCAGTCTTGATAGCCTTTGTTAGAACGTCTATCAGCTGCTTCTGGGTGCTACAATGCACAACTTCTAATATTCCACTCTGAACCCGATTCCTCAAAAAGTGATACTTGGTCTCAATATGCTTGCTTCTCCCATGCAGCATTGGGTTCTTAGCAAGATTGATTTCAGACTTGTTATCAATCATCAACTTCAGAGGTTTATTTACCTCAATCTTCAAATCTTGCAGCAAGTTCATAATCCACACAACTTGGCATGCAGTCAGAGCGCCTGCAATATATTCAGCTTCACGGGTTGACAGCGCAACAACATGTTGCTTCTTGGAACACCAAGAAATTGGACCTCCCAGAAATTTGAATAAGTACCTAGAAGTACTTCTTTTGTCAACTCTGTCTCCACACCAATCAGAGTCTGAATAACTCAGAAGTTATGATTTGATCTTTCTTCCAGAAGGAAATAACACTCCATACTTCAGAGTTCCCTTCACATACCTCAGAATCCTGACAACAACTCGATAATGAGACCACTTTGATTTACTCATAAATCTACTAACCATTCCAACTGCATAGAAAATATCAGGTATAGTATTACACAAATATCTCAGAGAATCAACCAACTGTTTGAAGGTTGTAGCATCCACATCCTCTCCATCAGAACCAGAGTGCAACTTCTTATTTGTATCAGCAGGTGTGATAACAACTTTGCAATTCTCCAGCTTAAATCTCTTTAGAAGCTCAAGATCATACTTTATCTGATGTAAAATGATTCCTTTCTTAGAGTACATGAGCTTCATCCCTAAAAAGTAACTAATTTTTCTAAGATCTGTCATTTTAAACTCATTCATCCGAACCTTCTTGAACTTAGCTATCTCTTGTTCAAAACTTCCTGTTAGTAATATGTCGTCAACATACAAACATACCAGAATCATATTTCCTTCTGAAGTATGTTGAACATAAACACCATACTCCATCTCACACTTCTGAAACCCTTGTTCCTTGAAAAATGAATCAATCTTCAGATTCTAGGCTCTGGGCGCTTGCTTCAATCCATACAAGGCTTTGTGTAATTTGAACACCATTCCTTCCTGATTCTTTTTCTCAAATCCAGGAGGTTGTGACATGTATACCTCTTCTTATGATGGACCATTCAGAAATGCATATTTTACATCTAAATGCATCAGAGGTCAATTCCTGTTAGCAGCTATTGCAATCACTAGTCTGATTGTTTCATGTATCGCTACAGGTGCAAACACTTCAGAGTAATCCAGCCCAGGCTTCTGTATAAAACCTCTGGCTACTAATATTTCTTTGTGTTTTACAATTGATTCATCTAGCGTTAGCTTCTGCTTAAAAACCCATCTGACGCTGATGGCTTTCTTGCCTTTTGGAAGTTTTGTCAGCTTTCGAGTCTTGTTTCTCTATATAGCATCAAGTTCTTCTTTCATGGCCTGCAACCAGAATTTTTGCTTAAGAGCATCTTTCGTACTCGCGGGTTCAGATTCTACTAACATTGAACACTAAATAACTTCTCCTTTAGAGTCTACTTCAGTGTCTTACAACATGTCAAACTCTGAAAATCTTCTTGGGATGCTTCTGAATCTTTGTTGCCTCTGAACTTGAACTTCAGAACCTTAGACACCAGAACCTTGACTGTTTTCAGAGTCTATAAAATTCCCAGAGTCTGAATCACCATCGGAGTCAGAGTCTGAATCATCTTCATCTTATGAATCTTCTTCAGAGTCAAAGTCACCATCAGACTTATCTTCAGAGTTAAAAACTTTACCAGCTTTAGAAACATGTGTTTTTGACTTTTCTTCAGGAGTTCTCTCATCAGAGTCAGGATGAGACTTTTCCCAATTCCAGACTTCTTATTCTTTTATAATGACGTCTCTTCTTAACTCAACTTTGTTAGTTTCTAGACAATAAAGTTTGTACAAACCTGTACTTTGGTATCCCACCAGTAACATTACTTTACTTCTATCATCCAGCTTCTGTCTTCGGGCTTCTAGGACATGTTTGTAACATACAAAACAAAAAACCTTCAGATGACTAACACTTTGCTTATCTCCATTCCACTTTTAAATAGGAAATATTTCCTCCAGCTTCTTTGTTGGACATCTGTTTATCATATAACATGTTGTGGCAACAACTTCTCCTCACAAAGTATGAGGGAGCTTCTTCTCTTTCATCATGCTTCTCACCACATCAAGCAAAGTATAATTTCTTCTTTCAACAAGACAATTGTGTTAAGGAGTATAAGGATCAGTAACCTCATTCTCAATTCCATTCTCCTCACAGAACCTTCTGAATTATGCAGAGTTATACTCACCACCACCATAAGTTCTAAGAATCTTCAGAGTCTAGCCACTCTGATTCTCAACCTTTAGTCTGAACTTCTTGAATTTTGCAAACACCCCGTATTTGAACTTTATGAGAGATACCCATGTCATTCTGGTGAACTCATCAACAAATGACACAAAGTATTTATTCCCTCCAATCGATGCTACTGGAAATGGACCACACACATCAAAATGCACTATTCCTAAGGCACACTTTGCTCTTGGAGCTACTTCTGATGCAAATGGTAATCTTGGTTTCTTCCCTTCCATGCACACCTTGCATGACTTCTCAGGCTTATTGATTGTAGAAATTCCATGTACCAGCTTCTTCGATTTCAGATGCCCTAAGCTTCTGAAATTCATATGACCAAATCTTCTGTGCCACAACTCACTCTCCTTGACAATACTTGTTGCACTAAGACATTCAGAGTCTGCAGTTTTAACATTCACCTTGAATATTTTATCCCTTCCCTATTCTGACTCCATAATCAGCTTCTGATTACAGTCATACAGTTTTAGAAGATTGTCCTTCATGGTAACTGAAAAACCTTTCTCAATCAGTTGTCCAACACTCATCAAATTGCTTTTCATGCCAGGTACATACCACACATTCGGGATCACCTCTGCTTTCCCATTGTTTAGAATGACTTTGACATTTCCCATACCTTCTGCACTGATGTATTTATCATCAACACATCTGATATTTGTACTCTTCCCAGAGTCAAAATCAACCAACCATTTCTTGTTTCCAGTAAGATGGTTTGAACACCCTGTGTCCATATACCACCATTTTGATGAATTCATATCATCATATTTAAAAGCCAATAATATCACAGGTTCATCATCACACTCTCCTATGGATATATTTGCTTCTTCTGACTTCCTTTCTTTGTTCGACCAACAATATTTGGCATAGTGATCAAAGTTCTTGCAACGGTAACACTGAATATTCTTCTTGTCAGACTTCTCCTTTCTCTTTTGGATATTCTTCTGCCTATCAGAGTTTGAAGCTTCTGACCTTTGACCACCATTAGTTTTCTTCCTGGCTTCAGACTAAGTTTTCTTCTGACACTTCTTACCAGAAGTTACTTTCAGAGCCTGCTGCTCCACTTCCCTCTCAGAAGTTCTGTCAATCATACGCAACTCATGTGCCTCTAGACTACATTGCAGCTCTTCAACTCTTATGGTGCTCAGATATTTGGAATATTCAATTGCTACCACAATGTAATCAAACTGAGAAGTTAAATATCTCAATACATTTTCTATGATTACTTGTTCAGGAAGGATTTCTCCACAAGCTTTCATCTCATTAGTGATCAGAATCACTCTAGAGATGTACTCAGAAGCCTTCTCTTTGTCCTTCATGTTGAGATTCTCATATTGCTTTCTGAGAGACTGAAGTTTCACCTTCTTCACTAACGCGTCACTACCGTAGCATCTGACCAATGTGTCCCACGCAGCCTTTGCTGTTTCAGAGTCAACAATCTTCTCAAACACATTCTCATCCACACATTTATGGATGTAGAACAATGCCTTATGATATTTCTTCCTTATCACCTTCTACGTTGTCTTTTGTGCCTCTGTCGTGTCTGCTGCTAACAGAGAATAACCATTGGTGACAAGATCTAACACATCTTGAGAGTCAAACAACACACACATCTAGATCTTCCAACGATTCCGGTTTTTACCATCAAACACTGGAAGCTTGGAATTGATATCGCCGTTTCCGTTCATCTTCAACCTTGTGTAGTTCACATAGTATTTCCCAAATCCCACATAATCAGAAAAAAAAAGTGATTTTCAATCACACAACACCTCATTATTCACTTGTGTTTCTCGTGTTTCTCGTGGATTTTAAACCAGAGCTCTAGATATCAATTGTTGGTGCACAAAGGAGAGATGAAAGACAAAAGGAATATATTGAATGACGACTACAAAATAAGGTGTAATGAATTACATTGACCTACCTACTACTAGGCTATTTATACACAAAATTAGGGTATAATAAAATACTAAAATACCCTCTAACAAACTTAGTCAATAAGATATTCCTAAAATATAAATTATTTCCAACAGAAAATAGGAACAGAGAATGATGTTGGAAAATTCATTTGTGGTTGGGTTTGTATCTAAAATTATTGTAGGAATGTACTAATGTAGTGTTCTTTATTTAGCTTTTTGTTTCAATTTGAATTTCAAGAGATAGTGTTCAAATTATACTAATAATGAATATTGTTGTTTTGTTGGTATCGTGTGTTGTAGCCGATTTCTTGGTTGAGCTTGATTTTTCTGGTTTTAACTGGAGTTAGACTGGTGTATTACTATGATCGCGAAAAGAAACAACATATACAAGGTAGATTACTATGGTGAGTTAGTTGAGTACTTTGTGAATATGCATGTGGATATGGTTTACGAGTGGTATCTATGTTAATTGTATTCTCTTTGTTTGCTGAATCATTGTTGGGATTTTATAATATTTTATTAGCAAAAAAAGAACATTTGAAGAGATAGATGACAAGATAAATACAATATTTTTGTATCTATAAAATTGGATCTTATTCATTCAACGTTATGTTATGGGGTGTTCTTTGTAGGATTCCAAGTTTATGCTATGCCTGCTTTTTATTTGATTGAGACCGTGATTGAGACCATTATGGTGCTGTAAATGTAGGTACTGTTTGATTTTAACCATCTCTAAATTTATTCTACTATATTGTAGCTATGTGGACAAGGATGCATCCAGGTTATGCTGCAATTGTATGTCTGTTTTCAAGCAATTTTCCCACTCATTACAAGTTAGTTATTATAGAAGTTATGTGATTAGTTATGCTAACGTTTTTCAAAATTAATCACACTGACACACTTTTTCTTATAAGTTGTTGTTTTGAAACTTTTATTCAGCTTGCATTGCTTTGTATATCTATTGAATTTGGAATGCAAAATAATGAGATTACACATATTGAAATACCAATCTGTAATCAGAAATAAAAAAGGTCAAACTGCACTTCATATGGCTGTCAAAGGACATAGTACATGAGTGGTGGAAGACAAAAAGAACTTGCATTGTTTATTCTTCATTCATGAATTAATTTTAAATATAAAGTTGAATAGAGTGGAATATATATTATGTACTGTATGATCTATTTCAATAGAAATACACATTCATCATTGAATTTTAAGCCGTTGGACTTAAATAGTTAATAATTTTTAATTAATATTATCAAATAGATTCAAATATTTGATTATTGACTAAGACAATTCTTATATAATTTTTGTTAAATAAACTAGTCGATAACCCGTGCTGTCGCACGGGGCCGGTCGAGAATTCATAAAACGTGGAACTAATGTTGTCATGTAACAGTAAATTCGTTTTTATGTAATTCAATAAAAGTTCATCTAATTCGGCCAAATTTAGTGTATCAAACTTATTTGACAACATTAAAAAATGTAAACTGAAATCATGATTGTGTAACAAAATAAGAAACTGTGATAACTCTTCAAAATAAGAAACTATCACGAGTCTTCAGATACAACGCAACCAGCTTGGAAACGATGTTTTCAACTTTTTGACCTGCACAATAAATTATGCAAAAATTAGACAGCATTTACGGAAACAATTTATATTAAAGAAAATATTTGTTATTATGTACTTACCGATCAACAAAGAGATTGGAAAACTTCTTTGTATACAACATTTGTAGTGATAGATGTTGATACATTCATACTATCATGTATTAAGATCTTTAGACCACTTTTGCTTGTAACTCTTGAAATGGCTACATACAACTGGCCATGACTGAATACAGGAGTAGGCAAATACAATCCAATTGTATCAAGTGATTGGCCTTGAGACTTATTAATTGTCATTGCGTACGACACAATAATTGGGAACTGTCTCCTAATCAACTTAAATGGCCACGGTGACTCGGAAGGTGACATAGACATTCGAGGGATGTAAAAGATGTTACCAACATTCTTACCAGACATGATCTTTGCCTCAATAACGTGATTTGCCAACCTTGTAACAATTAGTCTAGTTCCGTTACACAAACCATCGTTTTGGTCCAAATTCCTCATAAGCATTATTGGTGTACCAACCTTTAATCTGAGTTTGTGATTTGGGACACCTGAAGTCCTAAGCTTGCTAAGAAATTCTGGAGTAAGACATTCATAGGCTTCGGTGTAACTTGAATCAGTTCTATCAATCGAATCAAAACTCAAATACTCTTTGTCCTCACCTAAGAAATGGGAAAACGCGAATCAATCCATAATGTTTTTTCAAGAATAATTTAATAACGAAACATCTACACGAAAATAAACATCAAAAGAAAAAATAGTTTACCCGGTATCATGTCTAACACGTAATGATTAATTTTATCAACAACTTCAATGGTTGAAGCAAGTATTGCTTTTCCTTGTAGAAATTCTACATTTTGAAAGTCGGCAAGCAAATTTGGGTATGTGCTTTCAACTATAGCTCTTATTGGATCCTCAAAATTGGAAATTAACAAATCCGGAGGAATTTCTATATCAGCTAATCCATCGTTAGGTTCACATATTTTTACCGTCGCCAACATTTAATATCCATTTAGAGAATTCTGCAAGTTCATCAGAAGTTGTACCATCCCTCCCATTCTTTAGTCTCATGTTTTTGGTTAGTGTTAAGACTTGGCAATAGTCCCACACATAAGAAGAACAAATGGAAGCATGAACAATATCAAAACGGCCTGCTCTTGGAACAACTGGAAGTATCTGTCGAAAATCTCCTCCAAATATAACTACCTTGCCACCAAAAATTGTATTTGCAAAACCCTTATCGCTCATGACATCCTTAAGGGTCTTATCCAAGGCCTCAAAACAATTCTTATGAGCCATGGGTGCTTCGTCCCATATTATGACATCAGTAGCTTCGAATAACTGTGAATGCTCAGAGTCTTTGTCAACATTGCAAGTAGAGTTGTCAAGCGTTGGAATGGGAATTTTGAACTTCGAATGGGCTATTCTACCACCTGGCAATAATAAGGAAGCTATGCCACTTGAAGCAACAGCCAGAACAATTTTTTTATCTGAACGAAGTGCACTTGATAATGTCCTCCACATAAACGTTTTACCGGTTCCGCCGTATCCATGTAAAAAAAACACCCCTCCGTTTTGTTTCTTGACGGCGTCCATTATGGTTTCAAAGATTGCACGTTGCTCATCTTGACGTTCAAATGAAAAGAATCAATACAACAGTAGTTTAATGAAAACATCGATGATTTGAATAATGGGGAAATACCTGTTAGAGATGTAAATAGATTCTGGAAGTTTTGTCGCTCTAAATCAGCATCGTAATCACGTTCATCAAAAATCAGTCTATTGCCGACATGTCGCGTTATATACAAATCTGGAAACGGCATATCTTTGAATTCATGCAAGCTTCTTCTATTTGATTGCATCATATTCTCAATCTCAATTAATGTGAGGTTTGTCAGTTCTGCAGTTGACAATTGCATGTCTTCCAACACAAATATAAACCAAAATAAAATATAACTATTATGTACAATAGAAATCACAGTGTTGATGAAGATAGACATGCAAAAGGATCGTTAACCTTAAAATGGCAGTATCATGGAAAAGTTCAGTATAATGCAAGAGCATCAGACATTCGGGTTCATTAAAAATGTTATGTTTTTGATCAGTAGCTGTGACAAAAGGTGGTTGAAGGTAAAAGATAAATCACAGAATTATTATGTTCTGTGTTGGTGGTGAGTAATATCAGATTGCATTAGATATTTTTATTACTGATGAAATAGCAGCATTGAAAGGACTTGCTTACTGGAACTTATGATTCTTTGAAAGGGCAGCATTGAAAGGTGCTGTTGAATGGAAATGATGTGAAGCATTATGGCATAAGAACAGGAAAGTCTGTGTATGGGCAGAACTGTCGAAAAATTTTATGGCAGAACCAGTTGGGTAACAATTGAAATTCTTAAGTTAAGACCCTATCTACATGAGTTGAAATTACATTACGACAATGAGAACCTGTCAAAAGACTTAAGTATGGTTTGAACTGTATGATATGTAACAGATATATGGAAGTATAAAAGGATTGAAATTATTGCATCCAAAGTAGTTTAAAAGGTATTATAAGAAGAAAAACTCATTATAATAGTTTCGTACGGTTTGTAATTGTATGAAATTTAACAGAAGTATTTAGGTATTTGTTAAGTGTACCTCTTATTCCAGTGACAATTCTCTGTTGATGAAGAATACCGTCAGATAGCAACTTCCAAGTCTGTTGCCAAACATGTCGCGGTCGATTAACAGTACCAGACAACAGCATCGTGACAAATAGCTTCCTCAAAAAATTACCGTAACCCCAATCTTTGGCCTCATTTATGGCTGCAACATATTCTTTGTCGTCGTTAAGAAATCCCATCTCAAAGCATGCATCTCTAAAACTGTCGCGGACTACTCCACCAACCTTTTTTATATCGTCATAGCAAGTCGGTCCCTTGACAACCGTCAACATCATTCTAAGGTAATAGAGCTCACCAGTGCTTGGAGGAACCCAAATTAACCGGCCAATCGTACGACCTCTTTTTCGAGGTCTCCATAAACGGTACCTTTTATCGTAAACGAACTTGGAAAGAAACGCAGTGTATGTTAAAGTCTTTGCATCTTCGTATTTTTTGTTTGACTCCATCCAAGATGTAAACATTGATTCCTTTACAGTTTGTTTTTCAAGAACATTGTCTATGAAATCATAGTCAGTGTAGTAAACCGAATTTTCGCCTTCCAGATGAAAATATAACCTTTCGACAGAAGGAGATCTACCATGGATAGAATATGAAAAAATCCTCCAACACGCCTCACTCGGGGAAACGTACCTGCAATCAAGGTACTGTTTGATTTCATCAACATCTGTACCAAATGAACTTCCGTCTGATTCGGTCCGAACAACCGCTGCAGTTATTCTATCGTAACCTTTGTTAATATACTTGAATAAGTACTTGACAGAAGTACCTTGGTTACACCATTCCATATTAATGTGCGCCTGATATTTCTTTAGAAGATATGCATTATAAGGAACTACATACCTATTATCAAGAACAATACTTTTTTTCAGAACAGTAATGCCAGTATCCCTTCTCCTATAGACGGGATAGCCATCTTGATCGACAATGGTTTGAGGCTGCCAATTTTTGGGAAAGAATTTAGAGCATTTACCATTTTTCATGCAAGGGGAAGATCTGTTAGCCAACCCACATGGACCATGAATCATATGTGTCTTTACCAAATGATTTAATTGTTTATCATCCGTTTC